GACCTGATCCCAGTTTCCCAGGAGCTGATCCCAGTTTCCCAGTATCCAATCCCAGTTTCCCCAGCTGATCCCGGTTTTTCCCAGCCTGATCCCAGTTTCCCAGCCTGATCCCAGTTTCCCAGGATCCGATCCCTGTTTTTCCCAGCCTGATCCCAGTTTCTCCATGGCTGATCCCAGCTCTTTGCCCAGCCTGATCCCAGGAGTTGATCCCAGTTTTCCCAGGTTGATCCCAGACTGATCCCAGTTTCCCAGGATCCAATCCCAGTTTTTCCCAGGCTGATCCCTGTTTTTCCAGGATCCGATCCCAGTTTTTCCCAGGATCCAATCCCAGTTTTTCCCAGTATCCGATCCCGGTTTCCCAGCCTGATCCCAGCCTGATCCCAGCCTGATCCCAGTTTCCCAGACTGATCCCGGTTTCCCAGACTGATCCCAGCCTGATCCCAGTTTCCCGGTATCCCCTCCCCGTCCCCAGGTGCTGGTGTTCGTGCACTCGCGCAAGGAGAGCGGCAAGACGGCGCGCGCCATCCGGGACATGTGCCTGGAGAAGGACACGCTGGGGCTCTTCCTCAGGGAGGGCTCGGCCTCCACCGAGGTGCTGCGGACCGAGGCCGAGCAGTGCAAGGTGGGGCTGGAAATGGGGAAATGTGGGGAAATGTGGTGGGGGAAAACTGGGAAAAATTGGGGAAAAATGGGGAAATGCGGTGGGGAAAAATTGGGGGAAAATGGGGAAAAATGGGGAAATGCAGCGGGGGGAAAAGTGGAAAAATTGGGGAAATCTGGCAGGGAAAAACAGGAAAAAATTGGGAAAATCTGGCAGGGAAAAACAGGAAAAAATTGGGAAAATATGGTATGGAAAATGCAGGAAAATCCAGCAGGGGAAAAAAGCAGAAGAAATTGGGAAAAAATCAGGAAAATCCAGCAGGGAAAAATTGGGAAAATCTGGCAGGGAAAAAATGGGAAAAATCAGGAAAATCTGGCAGGGAAAAATTGAGAAAATGTGGCAGGGAAAAAATGGGAAAATCTGGCAGGGAAATACAGGAAAATTGGGAAAAATCAGGAAAATATGGCAGGGAAAAACAGGGAAAATTGGGAAAATGTGGCAGGGAAAATGCAGGAAAATCCAGCAGGGGAAAAAAGCAGGAAAAAATGGGAAAAATCAGGAAAATCCAGTAGGGGAAAAGCAGGAAAATTGGGAAAAATTGGGAAAATCTGGCAGGGAAAAATTGGGAAAATCTGTCAGGGGAAATGCAGGAAAATTGGGAAAAATCAGGAAAACATGGCAGGGAAAAAAAAATGGGAAAAACCAAGAAAACGTGGCAGGGAAAAAGCAGGAAAAATTGGGAAAATCAGGAAAATCCAGCAGGGAAAACTTGGGAAAATCCAGTGTGGCAAAGACAATTTCTGACCCTTTATCCACGGAGAAATTTGGGAAAACTCCCTCAAGACAAAATCATTGGATCCCCTAAAATTGGGATTTTTCTGGACCCACCACCACAACTTCTCCACCCTTGTGGTGGATCCCAAACTTCTCCTTTTGGAATATTTTTCCCAAATTTTTTTCCATGGAATTTTTTGGGATTTTTTTTCCCCAGAACCTGGAGCTGAAGGATCTGCTCCCGTACGGCTTCGCCATCCACCACGCCGGCATGACGCGCGTCGACCGCACGCTGGTGGAGGATCTGTTCGCCGACAAGCACATCCAGGTGGGACCTCCAAACCCACGGGGAGGTTCCTCAAAAAATAAAAAAAACCCAAAAAATTTCATTTGGGATCTTGGGAGGAAAAAAAAAAAGGGATTCATCATGGAGGAAATGGGAGAGGAGAATGGAGATGTTGGGTGGGAATGGAGGGTTTGGGATGGATCTGGAGGTTTCTGGATGGGTTTGGAAGTTCCTGGATGGATTTGGAGGTTTTTGGTGGATCTGGAGGTTCCTGGTTGGGTTTGGAGGTTCCAGGGTGGATTTGGAGGTTCCTGGTGAATCTGATCCCTGGTTTTTGGTGGATTTGGAGGTTCCAGGGTGGATCTGGAGGTTCCTGGTGAAATCTGATCCCTGGATTTTGGGTGGATCTTGAGGTTTTTGGTGGATCTGGAGGTTCCTGGGTGGGTTTGGAGGTTTTTTGGGTGGATTTGGAGGTTCCAGGTTGTATTTGGAAGTTCCTGGGTGGATTTGGAGATTTTTGAGTGGATTTAGGGGTTCCTGGTGAATCTGATCCCTGGTTTTTGGTGGGTTTGGAGATTCCTGGGTGGATCTGGAGGTTCAGGGTGAATCTGATCCCTGGATTTTGGTGGATCTGGAGGTTCCAGGATGGATTTGGAGGGTCCAGGATGGATTTGGAGGTTTTGGGTGGATTTGGAGGTTCCTGGTGAATCTGATCCCTGGTTTTTGGGTGAATTTGGAGGGTTTTGGTGGATTTGGAGATTTTTTGGGTGGATTTGGAGATTTTTTGGTGGATTTGGAGATTTTTTGGTGGATTTGGAGGTTCCAGGATGGATTTGGAGGTTCCTGGTGAAATCTGATCCCTGGATTTTGGGTGGATTTGGAGATTTTTGGTGGATCTGGAGGTTCCAGGATGGATTTGGAGGTTCCTGGTTGGATCTGGAGGTTCCTGGGTGGATCTGAAAGTTTCAGGATGGGTTTGGAAGTTCCTGGTTGGATCTGGAGGTTCCTGGCGAATCTGATCCCTGGATTTTGGGTGGATTTGGAGGTTCCTGGTGGATTTGGAGGTTTTTGGTGGGTTTGGAGGTTTTTGGTGGGTTTGGAGGTTTCAGGATGGGTTTGGAGGTTTTTGGGTGGATCTGATCCCTGGATTTTGGTGGATCTGGAGGGTTCCTGGTTGGATCTGGAGGTTCCTGGTTGGATCTGGAGGCTCCTGGTGAAATCTGATCCCTGGATTTTGGGTGGATTTGGAGATTTTTTGGTGGATCTGGAGGTTCCTGGGTGGATTTGGAGGTTTCTGCTGGATCTGATCCCTGGTTTTTGGGTGGATTTGGAGATTTTTGGGTGGATCTGGAGGTTCCTGGGTGGATCTGAAGGTTTTTGGTGGATCTGGAGGTTTTTGGTGGATGTGGAGGTTCCTGGGTGGATTTGGAGGTTCCTGATGAATCTGATCCCTGGTTTTTGGGTGAATTTGGAGATTTTTGGGTGGATTTGGAGGTTCCTGGTTGGATTTGGAGGTTCCAGGATGGGTTTGGAAGTTCCTGATTGGATTTGGAGGTTTTTGGTAGATCTGGAGGTTCCTGGGTGGATCTGGAGATTTTTGGGTGGATTTGGAGGTTCCTGGGTGGATCTGGAGGTTTTTGGAGGATCTGGAGGTTCCTGGTTGGATTTGGAGGTTTTTGGTGGATCTGGAGGTTCCTGGTGAATCTGATCCCTGGATTTTGGTGGATTTGGAGGTTCCAGGATGGATTTGGAAGTTCCAAGATGGATTTGGAGGTTTCAGGATGGATCTGAAAGTTTCAGGATGGGTTTGGAGGTTTCAGGATGGATTTGGAGGTTTCAGGATGGATTTGGAGGTTCCAGGATGGATTTGGAGGTTCCTGGTGAAATCTGATCCCTGGTTTTTGGGTGGATTTGGAGATTTTTGGTGGATTTGGAGATTTTTGGGTGGATTTGGAGATTTTTGGGATGGATTTGGAGGTTCCTGGGTGGATCTGAAAGTTTCAGGATGGGTTTGGAAGTTCCTGGTTGGATTTGGAGATTTTTGGGTGGATCTGGAGGTTCCTGGTTGGATTTGGAGGTTCCAGGATGGATTTGGAAGTTCCTGATTGGATTTGGAGATTTTTGGTGGATCTGGAGGTTCCAGGATGGATTTGGAGATTTTTTTGGTGGATCTGGAGGTTCCTGGGTGGATCTGGAGGTTTCAAGATGGGTTTGGAGGTTCCAGGTTGGATTTGGAAGTTCCTGGTTGGATTTGGAGGTTCCTGATGAATCTGATCCCTGGTTTTTGGGTGGATTTGGAGATTTTTTGGTGGATCTGGAGGTTCCTGGTTGGATTTGGAGGTTTTTGGGTGGATTTGGAGGTTTTTGGGTGGATTTGGAGGTTCCTGGTTGGATTTGGAGATTTTTTGGGTGGATTTGGAGGTTCCTGGTGAATCTGATCCCTGGATTTTGGGTGAATTTGGAGATTTTTGGTGGATCTGGAGGTTCCTGGGTGGATTTGGAGGTTCCAGGATGGGTTTGGAAGTTCTTGGTTGGATTTGGAGGTTTTTGGGTGGATTTGGAGGTTTCTGGGTGGATCTGAAAGTTTCAGGATGGGTTTGGAGGTTCCTGGTTGAATCTGGAGGTTTCTGCTGGATCTGATCCCTGTTTTTTGGGTGGATTTGGAGGTTTTTGGTGGATTTGGAGGGTTTGGGATGGATTTGGAGGTTCCTGGTGGATCTGGAGGTTTGGGGTGGATTTGGAGGGTTTGGGGTGGATTTGGAGCTTCCTGGCCAGATTTGAAGAGTTCTAAGTGGGTTTGAAG